GCCGTCATAGTTCCCTCTTACTGCTTTCCCGCACAACTATTTTCTTTCACTAAGTCCTTCCTGTGAATCCAAAATAGCTCCCTTGCCAAGAGGGTTTTCCTCTGCCTACAATCAGATCACCTGATACTTTCTAAACTCTAAACATGTTATCTGCATCTCTTACGGAGCTAGCAAGGTTCTACAAGGTAGAATTTTTCCAAAAAAAAAAAAAATCAGGAAAACATAGAACACACTTTTTAACTATGTTAGCTACATTTCCAAATATGTTTTTCTTTAACCTCTATGCACCTTTTCATGTGAAGCATGTAAGACACTGTGCATTTATGTCTTCTCTCCTTTTCTAGTCAGTATGATTCTTAAGGGCAGAGACAGTAGCTACTGCACTCTTGCGTTCCCCCAGTCTCCAGCACAAAGCAAGGGGATACTCAAAACAAAATACCTGAATATCAGTGTTTTTCAGACAGTGTGTATTCCCAATTATAAGATGTTTAAAGAATCATCAATTTTTTTTTGAAAGGCCAAATAATATTGTGCTTAGTGGATTCTTAACCACTAACCCAGAAGGGAGCACAAAAATGGTTTCTACACAAAGTAATCCAAATGTAAAAGCTGTTATCCTTTACCACTATTGGAAATAAAGTTTAATTTCAGTTATAAAACAAACTCAGAAAATAGAAATAAACAACATCCCAGATTATACATATGTACACCACAGGAGGCAATAAAACAGCATAAAATACAGGAACTTATTTTCTACAAACCCTTAAACATGATATGATCAACTGGTTCCTGCTACAACATGGAAGAACCTTAAAATGTTATGCAAAATAAAATTAATCAGACATAAAAGGCCACCTACTGCAGGCAAATTCATACAGAAAATAATTAGTGGCTGCCAGGAGCTAGGCAGAAGGGAAAGTGGGTAGTGACTACTAACAGCTTTTTGGAGCAGTGAAAATATTCTGGAATTAGATAGTGGTAATGGTTGTACAATTTTGTGAATACATTAAATATCACTTTATTGTATACTTTAAAAGGGTGAATTTTATGGTGTGTAAATCACATTTCAATTTTTAAAAGTTTATAGTCATTTCAGCTATTTTATTTCAAAGAAAACTTTAACAGGAATCTTACTTTGTAGTTGTTTTCTCAAGCTGAGAAACTGGTTCCATACCAAGTGACTTTAAATTCTTATCAATGGTAAACTACCAACTTTCAAACATTTATAGACTTTCATAAAATCTGGATTTCTGACTTGCTAAAAAAAAAAAAGAAGAAGAAAAAACCCTGGAGTTTTAAAGATACCAGACATATCTGCATAGCAACAATGGCCTGGCTCTGTTGGCCAGTATCTCCATCACTCTCTGTTGTCTTCGAGGTAACTGAAGCCAAGTGTCATTTGCAATTCAGTTGTGAGTTTATTATCCCAAATCTAAACAAACACCTTCTACCTTTCTTATTAGGGTATACTATGGATCACTGCTGACAAATTAATATGTAATTATGTAATTGGTCGAAGTGTATGAATTTCCAGTTATGAGATGAGTAAATTCTGGGATTAGTTAAAGTAGATCCACAAACACAAAACAAGGTAACTATGCAAGCAGATGGAGGTGTTAGCTATCTTGTGACAATCATTTCACAACATGTACATGTATCAAAATCATGTTGCATACCTTAAACTTACAGGTATTACATGACAATAGTACCTCAATAAAGCTAGAAAAACAAATTTTAGATGTAATCAGGCGTGATTACATTTTACTAGCTGCAAAGATACAAATCCTGACAGTTGGATGAAACTGCTGTTACAAATTCAAGTGATATAAAAACACATACTGTATGTAAATACTTTAATACTTTACATACTTCAGTGGAGGAAAAAACAAAGGAAAATTCGTGTTTCTACTCCTACAAACAGAAAAAACATTTTCCACTTCATTTACAATTAAAAATTATTTTCATCTACTAATAGAAAGTAGTACAGTGATAAACCCTAAGTATTCTCAAATTACAGGTGATACTTTGTATATCATTACAACTAAGTATTAACAGATACTATATAAAACTGGAAGAGTACAACTGCTTTATAACTGCAATTCATAAATATACAAATTTCAACGTACAGTTGGATTTTATGTCCAACTGAAAACACAATGGTGTTATTACCCTCATATTAAGTGTTGGACCAAAAGAGAGAAAGCTGTCATACTCAGATTATTGATTGGATGTGCTTCTGGGCACAAAGAAAAACAACCCATTTATAGCTTCTAAGTATTAGGCTGTATTTGTAAAGCTAAAAAAAAAACAAAAAACAAAACACAAGGTGCATATGGAAATAACATAAAAACTAGATTCTTTCCATAATAACATAAAAAGGATTCCTTCCTATCTCAACTAAAAATGAGGTTTGGGTGAAATGCTATGTCAGGTACCATCCAGCTTTTAAAATTCTGTGTACTTTTCCAGATCTTCCCCTTCTGTTCTCCGCATAATTCAACTAGTGAACTACTTTTCTTTGTGGGAAAAGTTATAATAGTATTTGTATTCCATTTCATTTTTACCATCACTTCTAATAGCTAACAAAATATCGACATGTAAAATGACTTCTAAAAGCAGATATTCCATTTGAATTAGGCAAAACAAACTCATTTCTCAGTCTTCCAGAAGAAAAACCAGATGAGCCAATAGTAGTTTAGAGGTAAACTTCGAAGTTTTTTTGCTCTCTGAACCATACCGCTTAACTTGTCCACATTATCTTCAAATTTACAGATGACATTTTACATATCTTTAGTACCACTACTAATAGATACTATATAAAACTGGAAAGTGCAATTTGATTATATGTCCAAGTGAAAACACAATCTTGTTGCTGTTTAAACCTGATGGTGAATAAAATGGAACACTCTCCTAAAAGTTCACCAAATTCCTAATGCATACAATGATCCAAATTGCAAAAATAACTTTCAAAAGTGTAGGAATAGAAACAAAACAAAAATCAATTGCTACCTCACCTACAACTTACAGAAGCACAAAGTGCCATTAGTTTGACAACTATTAGTGGAGAATCTAGATCTTGAGTTTCACACCATTAGGACTATAATGTTGAGTTAACTGTACAGGAATTAGCAGGAATTGATTATGCTCTATCTGTTATTCTTTAACAGTGTTGCCCATAGAACTTTCTGATGATAGAAATGTTCTTTATCTGTGTGGTCCAAATCTAGTCAATAGCCACATGTAGTTACCCAAAACTTAAAATGTAGCAAGCAAGACTGAAGAACTCAGTTTTCAATTTTATTTAATTTTAATTAACTCAAATTTAAGTTTACGTGTCTGATGGCTATCATGTTGGAAAAGCAGCTCTATATTTTTAAATACAATGTATAAACTTGACTAAGCAATAGAGTTTTTCAAAGTATCATTTCCTGATGATGTTACCACAACTGGAAACCTTCCCGACCCCACATGATACAAAAGTTCAATCATCAGCCTAAATATAAAATTCACTTATGAAGAATTCGTGATTCTACTTAGATCGAGAATTCAAGGTACACTATTCACAGACACAGTATTTTTATTTTTTAAGAAATCTCAGGTTTTCACCCATTGTTTTTACAAAAGGGGTACTAACTTTCGTAATAGTTTACCAACGCAAATTACTTTCCCTTAAAATCTTTTCAATATCTTTTGCTGTGAAAAACAAATGGCAAAAACTAATTTCTCTGCATTACGTTAATTTCCCTTTTCCCAGAAGAGAAGAAAAAATACAACTGTTTGGAAGACTCTACATACACAGCCTGAAAGCCTTGTTACCTATCTTTCGGTGTTTTCAGGTGTACAAATCATTCTAATATAGTTATGATTTCATTCCTGGACACAGAGTATTTTTTCAATCCAAAAGCGTCTTGACTCTTTAGACTCTTCACGTATTCTTCGACCAGCTCTTTCTAAATCAAGAGAAGTAACCAAAACGGTGCCACAAGATGTCAAAAAAAAAAAAAAAAGTCTGGGAACTTGCACGTTGAATAACCAGTCGCTAAGTAGAATCAACCTCCTTTCACCCGGAGAGAGCTCGCCTCCAACTACCCGGGAAGCAAACAGGCGGGCAAGGTCGTGACCCTAGGTCACGGAGGCCGGCCCCGCCCGCGCCCGGCAGGAGGAAGCCACCTGTTCGGCCCGGGCCTCACCTGGCAGGGGAGGCGCACACCAGCAGCGCGCCGGCCGCGGATTCCCGGACGCCAGCATGGGCCCCGCCCCTCTCACGCAGGCGGCCGGAGGCGGCGGCGGGCTGCCGGTGGCACGTGGGCTTTCACGGCCCGCTCCCGGCTGACAGGCAGGTCGTCCGCGCCCCCGCCGGCGCCGCCTCCCCCGCCCCCGCCCCCGCCCGCCGAGCGGGCGCCCCGGCGGCCCACACCAATGGCCCGTACGCCCTCCCTCCGCGGGCGGCGCGATCCTGCTCGCCGCCCCTTACCTACCTGGTCACGGAGTTTGAGAAGCGCCATGGCGGTCGCCGCTTCCGCCCCAATAGCCTCGGCCGCTGCCCGGCACCGCGGGGTCAGCGGAGAGAGCGCTGAGGAGTCCGCGGGCGGGGGGCGGTGCCGCCTCCCGGGCCGCCCGCAGCAGCCACCGAAAGGTGAAGCGCCGGCTGGCCCCGCCCTCCTCCGAGGACTCCCCGCCCTCTTCTTCCCTTTCTTTCTCTTCCCCTCGGCGGCCGCTCCAAGCCGCCGCCACCGCCGCCTCCTCACGCCCCTTTCCCGAAATACCCTGGCACCCCCGCGGGCGCGCCGCTCCAGCCCGCGGCAGCGGCGGTATCCAAACTCCACTCCACAATATTACCACCACCGCCCGCCGCGATTGGCGGCCGCGCGGGGGAGAGGCCAGAGTAAGCCGAGCGCTCATTGGCCACGCCGCCGCGCCGCTCGGGCACCGCCCCGCCGGGGCGGGGGGGCAGCGCGTGGAAGCGGCCGAGGGTGGGCGCGGAGCCGGGAGCGCGGGCGGAGGCGGCGCGAGTGCGTGAAGCCGGGGGAGGGGTGGCCAGGTGTTCCACGCGCGCCCGGGGCTGAAGGTGGGGGTGTCGGGAGCACGGGCTAACGGCCCTGGGCTCGCACGTGGAGGCGCGAGTGCAAGCGCTCCCCAAAGCCGGGGGAGGATGAAATACCGGGGTGAGGATGGAGGACCGGGATGAGGGGCCGGAAGGGCGAGAGGTGGGCGTCTGGGGGCTGCAGCCCTCCTGGGAACGGCGCGTGGAGACCGGCGAACCGGCCTCGCACGTGGAGGGAGAGTGAGATTGCGCCTGGGGCTTGGGGCGGAGGAGGGAGTCCAGAGAGTAGGGGAAGCGGTGGGAGGCTGCCGCCCTCTCGGGGCAGAGGGCAGGGCCAGAGGGAGGCGGCAAGACCCGCCGTGGATCGGAGGAGAGTGCGTGCCCTCCGGACCTGGAGGGGTGTGAGGAGACCCGGGGATAGTTCCTCCCCGGGAGCCACCGTGGGGGAGGGGAGCCCCGCCGCAAGAAGCGGCGGGAAGCAGCGTCTGCAGCCTAACAGGTTGTGGACGCCCGAGCCCTTGTCAGCCTGTAGTCCCAATCCGAAGCAGGGTTGGTTTCTCCAAAATTCCCCTGCAGGTTTGCCTATTTTTCTCTTCTTCTTTCGCATCTGAAGGGTTTTGCCTCTCACTCGGGAGAAATCAATTAAAAAAAAAAAAAAGATGGGCCGGATTTCCAATAAATAGCATCCTTGGATGGAAGAGAAGAGAAATGACTCCCTCATTCTGCCACACACACCCCCACGCCCCCCCACAGTTCTGAAACGGCTTTTCTTTCTTAGGAAGCCGCACACTGTTACCATTCCAGGCTTGTGTGGGAGAAGACTGTTGTGTGCCTGTGTCTGTCCGGCCCGGCAGCTCCAGTCCCTGGTTAATAAAAGGTACAGATGTTAGAACACAAATATGTGACGTCAGGCTTGATTTTAAAAGTCCCCTTCTTCCTACATCAGTTAGATCTCTTGGGACAGACTTTATTTAAAGGATCTATTTGAGTCTAATGGCTGTCAAGAGAAAAGGGGATTATGCAAGGACAGTCAGTTGTAATGCTGTACTTACGTAACTAAACGTTTATAGTCCCATAAAAAATGAAAATATCAAGGGGCAAAGTGAAAAACATTGCCGATCAACTAATAGGATGTATGATCCATTCAATATTCTTTGACATATCAATGCCTTGATTCTGTAGACACAATTTCATGTCTTAAGTTACATTCCTCATAAATTATGTTTTCTATTTAAAATGGAGGGATTCTCATGAATGAGAGTAGCAGTCATGCTGAGGCTCTTGGATGTCAAACTTCTCTTTCTTTGCATTATCCTAAGTGCCTCACTCCCCTCTACTTCATCAAGTGCAGCAGGTACTATTCGTCACCCAGCCTCTCCTGTCACTTAAGTTGAGGGTGAATGAGTTAATGTGAAAGCATTTGAGTTCTCCAAAACAGGTGTGTGTGATATTACTAGAGTACTTTGTGATTACAAGTCACCTTTGTAAATAATTACCCATGTTCTATATCCAATACAGAGTTCTATCTTAGTCAAGGGGTGAAGGAATTTACCCTCCTTCATACATGAGCCTGTTAAACACTGGATGTCTAGTCAGGAGTTAATACATCCCCTACTCACCCTCCCCACCCCCAATAATATCTCCTCTTAAGTTAAAAAGTTCTAGAATTTAAAAGCACACCAGGAACTTGGTTAGGAATATGGCAAAGATTAACTTTTGGGAAAATGCGAGTGTATTTGAGTGGTGGATGAATTTAAAGTGGGGACTGAGTATGCATTTTAATAGGTCTTGTGATTGAGCTAATGAAACATTCAGGGTTCGTCTGAAATTTTATAATTAACAGTAATTAATGAAAATATTTTATAATGCACCCTCTGACAATCTTGCACATGGTAGACTCCAAGTTCTGCTGATAAGCTTAATACCTAGTTCAGTTCTCACTGTCCACTACCCTGAACTTGAGTCGTAATTTCACCATTTGTAAAAACAAGTTTAACATCTGGTCCATTCTCACACAGTCAAATAAGATAGTGATATGAAAGGCTGTGGGAATTCTGCAGGACCATTCAAATTTAATATTACAACAACTACATTTCCATAGCTGGAGAAAGGGTAACATGATTCTGAAAAATAAGAATTAAGAAAACATATTTGAGCAATAAAATGAAAATAGAGTCATGTTCAAATTCTGGCAATATATTTAAAATCTTTATTATAAAGTAATTGCTGCCTACTATAAAATATTCAAATATTAAAGCAATTTATAGTATTGAAAAATCCTGTCATCAAAGCCAGTGAGGCCAGGAACTTGAATGATGTCAATACTGTTTTCTCTCCCACACTTTCTTCTCCCACCTTTTTCAAACATAACTTTCATTCTCCCTTATTACAGCTGGCAACTCTACTCACATTTTGAGGACCCTGCAGTTATAGACAAAACCTCAAATTTTAGGTCTCAAGGAATGACTAATCAGGTGGGCTAGATGCATGTGACCTTGCCTCAGCCAACCACAACAACCAAGGAAGCAAGGTCTTAGAATTGATAACAGCTTCCATTCAGAATTCCCATCTAAAATGATGGGAGGAAGGATGTCATCCAGATGAAACCACCAGGGAAACTGCCGTGAGTTGGCAACGACACCATATTTTATTTAGTGTGCTGCTATGTGTTGGACACATGTCAGTACCTTATGTGCTTTACCTCATTTAAATTTTTCAATGAGCTCAATAATCTCTCAGTTTTGAGCAGATGATGCCCAAAGAAGTTGTGTGCCCATAAGTTATGCTAAGTGGCAACACCTGGATGTATGGGGGCCTTAAAAGCCAGAAAAGGGATTTACATGGTAAGAAACAGACACTTATTGATGACTTTTGAGCCAGATGATAACTGTATTATAAAACTAATGTTTATGAAGAGCCTGAAATACATGGAAAATTCATATAATAAATTGCCAAAGCAGCAAAGATAACTTAAGAGGCCTAGAGGATAGCATTAGAAGACCCAGGATACATCTGAAAGAATTTCTGAAGGAGAGAAGATAAGACTTTGAAAGAGAGGCAATATCCATGGGATAATGAGAGTCTTTCATACTTGAAGAAAACTATGAGTTATCAGGTCAAAGTAAGGTGCTAAGGCTCAAGCAGCTTATGTACATAGTAGTGAAATTACAGAGTACCAAAGCAATAGAAAAATGTTAAAAGTTACCACTGAGAAAAGTCAAATTATCCTAAAAGGAAAGACAGTCATCCTGTCAGATTTATAAGCAACATGAAGTGACAGAAGACAATGGAAAATATCTTCAAAGTATTGAGAACCCATAACTGAGAAACTAGAATTTTATACCTAGCTAAGTCATCTTTCAAGAGGAAGAACAAAATCAACACATTTTCAAAATTTAGTATTCACAGATGCTTGTTGAAAGTAATACAAAAGAATATAAGAAGAAAAAGGCTGAACACAAAAGGAATTACTGAGATTGAAGAACGAAAGGTAAATAAATTAGCAAGTATTTTAGCTAATCTAATTTAAGTGCCAGTATTTTTGAATTTTAAAAACAGGTAAAATTAAAATACCACCCCTCAAGAGTATGGTAGGTAATAGCAGAAGGAAATTCTGAATTAAGGACTAGACTCCTTTTGTTCAAGAATGAAATATTCCTTAACTTTAGATGTTAATAAATTCTTGTATTGGTTAAGGTTTCTTATGAAGACAACAGGTTTGAGCAATAATTTTTTTTTTTGGTTGTGATTCATAATTTAATGGCCATGTAGGTCCTTGTCCTTATTTCTGCCCTCATAGGCGCACTACTCTTGTGTCAATGTATTCTGCTCAAAGCTTAGATGTGCAGGAACACTTCTAGGCATGTGTTCACTGGACAGTGTCTCTTGAGGCAGCAGCTCCTCAGACCTGGAAGCTAGAGGTTCATCTTTGAGAGTTGTATCGTCTACTCTTTGTGCTCTGCCACAGGTTCTGCTGCAGCTTCCCCTGGAGGAGGGTACTGAGCCTCATTGCTGTGGCCTGGGGTGGGGGCCACAGCCCCACCCATATGTAATTCCAGCTCCAGCAGGAATTTCTTAAGTTGATGTTCAGTGGTTCTTAGCGTCACTGGGAGAGCTAAAAAAATAACAAGTGTGGGCTAAGCTTCTAGAAAAGTGCCCTAAACCATGCAACAGAACTGGCATGAAAAAGAAACTGTTACTACTACCATCCAAGCATCAAATGCCAGGAGCTGAACTTTTCTCCATCCACTCCTGCTGTCAGCATCAGTGCCAATTCTGTGTTAGAAACTTGAGTTACAACTGCCACCACCTCTGCAAACTGGATCCATCTGTTTCTCTGCACCAGGAAGGTGGAAGCTGTATGCAGAGCTTATATCCTTGCAGTCATTAATTTCCACAGGTGCTTCTGGTTGACAGTTTATGTCTTTGGCCTACCTTCTAGCTGCAAGGGAAGCAGGAAATTTGAGTTCTGAATTTTATACTGGAGAGGTGGGATCTATGCCCAGGGAATTACACCAAATATAGAAAGGGTATTTAAAAGATTCCAGCAGCCTTGAAAAATGCCAGAGTCTGCTATTGATAGGCATATTAAACATTGAAAGGTATTCACCAAAATAAACAAAATGTAACTTCTGAGCTTAGAGAAAAAAAATAACCTATACAAAATGTAGTTACTGGAGTAGCAGGCAAGAAAAAAAAAGCAAAGTAAAAGTATGATAAATAAATTCAAGTAAGATCATAGAGAAAAGTTGAACTAGGTTATTACAATAAAAATAAATATAAATATATAAATGGTTTGGGGCTGTCTATTCATGATAACAACAGACATTTAGACTGGATTTTTAGAAATCCAGCTATGTGCTGTTTGCAAATATATGGTAAGAAAATATTACCAAAATGTCTGATAGAAGGCAATTTTTAAGAAAACTACAAAGAAAATACCAAAGATTTGTGCATCCAATACCATTAATATCAGACATAAGAACTTAAGGCTAGAAGGACTGATAAAGATAGAGAGGTGATATGTAGTCATCCTAAAAGGAGCTCTCCACCAGAAATACGTACAGTCATGAACATGTGTACACTTTACATACAGAAAAATGTGATGGAATGACATAGAAAAATCAGTAAATGACAATCAAAAACAGTTCAGATGATAAATGGTCAGTGTACCATAAATCAATAAGCTGGATATGTGAGATTATATTTCTACACACATACATATATCCACATAATCAATAGTAAAAAAATTTTCTGTTCTACTCCAAGACTCTTAAGTCCAGCCATTAGACATGTGAACTTTGCCAAATATACAGGAGAAAATGCCCTTGTTTCACAAAGTAGGAAGCTAAAAACCAAGTGTGTAACCAAGATTCCTGATACACACCAGGTACTTCTCAGGCACCGTATCTTCCAAGCCAATCCTTTTGACATAAATAATTTTTTGACAAGTGCAGTTATTTCAACAACAAAGCCATTTCAGACTCACTTCATTTAGTTAAAAGCTCTTCCTAGTGGATCTCTAACTGCTTCAAGTATTCTCTGCTGGTGAATGCTCTTTTGTGGTTGAAATACGCAAAAAATGTACATAATAGCATAAAAAATATACAATGTGTACACAGTATATAAACTAAAAAAAACAAACATCTGAATAGAAAAAAATGTTTAAGAGACTGGAAGAAAATATACCACTGTATTAAATGAAATTATATTTGAGGGACAGAACTATGAATCATTTCTTCTATTTTTCTATATTTTGTTTAGTGTGAAATTATGTTCAAAAAGTAGTTTCCAAATATATTGGTGCTTCATGATTCCATTTCATTGAAATAAAAAAACATGTAGAAAGCAACTATCAAAATGGCAAAAGATTATTAAACTATATCAATAAGTACACTGATTGGACTAAAACTCAAAAGGCAGGTGTTATCAGACTAATAAAACAGCAAACCCAACTCTGTTATAGGTCTACAAGAGGCACACCTGCGATTTGAATATATAAGTAGATTGAAAATAAAGGATGGGAAAGATAACAGCACGCAAACAGTAACGGTAAGAGACCTAGAGTGACACAATATAAGAAAATAAACTTTAAGACAAATTACTAAAGACACTTTTTAGAAAGGTCAATATAGGCCAGGATGGCGGCGAGAGTAGAGCAGTTGAAATCTCCCAAAAACACATAGATCTATGAACATATAACAAAGAAAACTCTCCCTAAAATAGAGACCAGAGGACACAGGACAACATCCAGACCACATCCACACCTGCAAGAACCCAGTGCCTTGCGAAGGGGGTAAGATACAAACCCCGGCCCAGCGGGACCCGAGCGCCCCTCCCCCCGGCTCCCAGCGGGTGGAAAGAAACCGGAGCGGTTTTTTTTTTTTGGCGACTGCTTTTTGGAAGCCTTAAAGGGACAGGGATCCCGGTGCTAAGAAGGCAGGGCGGCGGGACGGGTGAGCGGGTGCCTGGGACCGGCGCCTGAGGAAAAAGAATATCGCGCATTTTTCCCTGCGGGACCGGTGGGTGGGTGCCTGAGACCGACGCCTGAGGACGAAGGAAATCGCGCGTTTTTCCCCTTTTTTTTTTCTCTTTTTGGCGAGTGCTTTTTGGAAGCCTTAAAGGGACAGTGACCCCGGTGCTAGGGAGGCAGAGCAGCAGGACCGGTGAGCGGGTGCCTGGGACTGGCGCCTGAGGACAAAGAATATTGCACGTTTTTCCCTGCGGGACCGGTGGGCAGGTGCCTGAGACCGGCGCCTAAGGATGGAGAAAATCGTGCATTTTTCCCCTTTTTTTTCCCTCTTTTTTGGCGAGTGCTTTTTGGAAGCCTTAAAGGGACAGGGACCCCAATACCAGCGAAACAGGGCAGCAAGACTGGTGAGTGGGTACCTGAGACCGGCGCCTGGGGACAAAGAAAATCGCGCTTTTTTCCCAATACTAGGCAGGCAGGGCGGCAGGACCGGTGGGCGGGGGCCTGTGGCCAGCGCCTGAGGACAAAGAAAATCACGCGTTTCCCCCCCCCTTTTTTTTTTTTTGGCGAGTGCTTTTTGGAAGCCTTGGACGGACGGGGACCCCAATACCAGGGAGGCACAGCAGCAAGACGGGTGGGCAGGTGCTTGGGACCGGTGCCTGAGGACAAAGAAAATTGCGTGTTTCTCCCATTTTTTTCTTTTTGGCAAGTGCTTTTTGGAGGCCTTAGGGGGATAGGGACCCCAGTGCCAGAGAGGCAGGGCGGCAAGGCCGGTGAGAAGGTGCCTAGAACCGGCGCCTGGGGGCAGAGAGGGTCGTGCGTTTCTCCCTTTTTTTTTGGTGAGTGTTTATTGGAGGCCTTGGAGGGACGGGGCCCCCAGTGCTAGGGAGGCAGGGCGACAGGACCGGTGGGCGGGTGCCTGGGACCGGTGCCTGAGGACAAACAATATCGCATGTTTTTCCCTTTTTTTT